AAATCCTCTGAATTGTCAAAACGCCGTCTCCTTCCAATCCTCCCTTTGAAAGTACCAAAGTGTAAGTGTTTAGCTTTCGTCAAGGGAGAAATTAGAAATCTCCGTTCCGCAACGAGAGAAAGCACAAAGTCGATCGCTGTATCGCCGACGGACCACTCGTGTCACAGCCATCAATTTGAAAGCACATACTCGAGGACGCGCAGTTTCGAGAATGTTCGCGAGACTCGACGGAAGTCGACGCAAGAGCCGGGGGATCTTTTTCCTCGCAGTCGCGATCAATGTTCCCGGAGCTGCTCGCGGAGAGTCGTGCAAACAGGACGAGAGAATAATCGTCTTCGCCCTCGCAAACAGCGGGAGGAGGAGGAGGAGGAGGAGGAGGGGCAAAGCGGAGAGGGCGGGGACGAGAGAGAGAGAGAGAGAGAGAGGCGCAGCAGCTTCTCACCCTCGGCCCGAAACAATCGCAACTATGCCCCAACAATTTATAATTCTCTCGCTCTGCCAGTCCTCCAGCACCCTCTCGGCGGGAAATCGGGGCGCGAGGGGCCGTCCCGCGCGGTGCACAGTTAAATGTTATTACTTTAGTCGTTGCAGATAATTTCCCTCGTTTGTTCGGCGAGACGAATTCCGCTCGCTCGCTCGCTCGCTCGCTCGACGACGAGGGGCGAAGTCGTCAACTAGCGTTCGCGCGTAAGCTGCCGGCGATGACGGCACTGGTAGAAATAATGCCGGCTTTACGCGAAGGCAGTTGGCGCGCGCGAGTCAGGTAGCAAGTTTCTTCCTTGCCTTCCTCAGCGGAAGCTAATGGATAACGAGCATCTCTGCCGTTTCAGTCAGTTGCTAAGCGCCAATTTATGTACAATGCACACGCGTCGTGAGACATACACGAGGAAAAATAGATTAAATTAACGCGGCGATGAAAGCCGCGTTCATTCAACAGCTTGGCTGAAACGAGACAGAACTTCCGGATCTCTTAGAGCCGAATGCGCCGCTTCGCGAAGTTCTGTCTCGTCGAGCGAAAAGTGCGTTCGTCCACATCCGACAGCGAATTCCTATCCGCGGCGATTGCTTCGACGCGAAGAGATCGCGATATTTTTATCTCGTTAAAATTCAGAACGCAGAACGATGGAAAAGGGAAAAATGTATCTCTCTCTCTCTCTCTCTCTCTCTCTCTCTCTCTCTCTCTCTCTCTGCGAATTAGCAAAACACACATTCTCCTGTCGATTGCGAAATTCATTGGGAAGAGAAAAGGAGAGCCGCTGACTGTACACATTTATTCGCGTATTTTATCGCACACGTAACGCCGACCGGTTTCGCTTAATATCCTCGGAGGGGAGATTCAGCACGTTTAATAATTCTCAAGCAAGGAAACCATAACAGCAGCTTTCCATCAACCACTACGCGCGCTCGGGCTAGTCGAGTCGGGCGGTCTTCGAATTTTTTTACTCGACATTTTCGTTCCTCTCCCTCCCCCTGGCTGGCCAGGGGGACCGCGTGCATCGCGGCAACTGCTGGCCTTGCACTCGCTCCTCCTTCCCTCGCGGTAAGCACTCCCGGTAATGCGCTTCTTGGTGCATTAACCCCGAGCGGGCAGCACGTGCACACGTATGTCAAACCTTTTGTGCCCAACACAGACACACGCGAGCGCCACGTTCAGCGCAAACCACCTTCCGCACCCCGTCGACCGTGGAGATGCAAACTGCTTCCTTTCTGCCTCCTCCCCTCACCGCCTCGCAGGCAGTTCCTTATGCAGCTGTTAATCGTCCTGCGTGCGCAGTTTCCTCGCTAATGATGTCACGGTCCCTCGAAACGAAAATCCAACGACGCCGACTTTTCCCGCCAGCCAGTCGATTCTCCTCAAGTTCGCGTTTCTATCGCAATTGTATCTCTACGTGTACCAACGTCACGCCTGAATTGAATATCACGGACGGTTTTGCAGAGAAAATCGCGAAAGTCACGGCAAAAAATAGCTGTGTGACCTTACGGGGGGGGGGGAGAGGACAGAGGAGAACTTCGATTAAATTTACAGTTAATTTCTCTTCAATGTCATTTCGCTCGCATAACGTCTCAAAGTCCGCAGTCTCTCTCTCTCTCTCTCTCTCTCTCTCTCTCTCTCTCTCGCTCGCTCGCCATTTCGAAAGGATTCTCTCGGATGCGAGCGTGAAAGGTGTCGAAGTAAGTGCAGGGCAAGCGGCAGGCGGAAACCTTGAAGAACGAGAGAAGAACGTGAAACGAAAGCGGATGTCGCGACCGAGGGGGACGAAATCGCTAAAAGGAATGCGCAGTCGAGCGAAAGAGGCCTCAAGGGGTTGGCGGAGGGGGGTGGTCGGCCAGTTGAAATAATGTAGAGAAAGCTCTAAAAAGCTCCACCAGAAACCCAGGAAGGTACCTGCGACCCCATTTTGTTTCGGTTCCCTTCCTCTCTTTCCCTCCCCCCTCCCTCTCACCTCTCTCTTTACCTTTCTTACCCTTTTTCTCTAGCGAAGAGAGAAAACTTTCTGCGCTTTATTTCATCGTATTACTTTTAATGTGAACGACATTAATTTCGCAATTAGTATGTGCCGTTATCTTCAGCCGTGGCTTCTTCAGGCGACCTTGAATGGGTTTTTTTCTCGGCGAAGCCTCGTCGATCAAGTGTTTTACTCTCGAGTTCTCGACGTTCACACGTTAAATCCAAACTCGGAAGAAAGCGCGTTTTCTTATTGCCGCCTCATTTCCGCGGTGCCGCTTGATTATCTCGTTCTATTAGGAGCATGAATTAGTTTTGGGAATCCTTTTTCTCAAAAACTGACTTACTTAAGCAAGATATAATGAACGAATACCTTAATCAACATATTTCCCTTCGTTTTCTACAACTTTTTCCCATCTTTCTGGCGAGAGATGAATCCCGCGACGATAAAAAGATTCTTCTTTGGAGTTGATCCAATTTCCAACAAATTTTCTCACTTGTTCGAAGTCATGAAAGTGTGCATCCTCCAGAGTATGTTGCATCGACCGGAACAAGTGATAATCGGATGGAACGACGTCTGGAGAATACGCGGGATGCGCTAGGACTTCCCATTCCAGCTCCGACAGCGTTTGCTTCACTAATAATGCAACGTGAGATCGAGCATTATCTTGAAGAAGGATCACTTTGCGCCGTTTACTCGAGATTGGTGATCGTTTTTGGCTCAATGCTCGCTTCAATTTCTACAATTGTTGTCGATAACGACCAGTGGTGACAGTTTCATTCGGATTTAACAGTTCATAGTGCACAACACCTTCTTGATCTCACCAAATACACGATACCTTTGAACATGAATATTGCGCCTTGAAGGATGTTGCTGATTGGCCTGGATCAATCCATGATTTTTTCGTTTGGGATTATCGAAATAGATCCATTTTTCATCCCCAGTAACAATTCGATATAAAAAACTCTTCATGTTTGTCTGACGATCAACGAAATGCAAATGTTCAATCGGTTCGCAATGGCATTTTCCGATAATTGACGTGAGACCCATTTTCCTTCTTTGTAAATCTTTCTCATATCATGTAAAAACGTTTAGTTGTTGTTTAACTGTTTACTGTTTAACTGTTGTTGTTTAACTGTTGTATTGATCAACATTTAATGTTCCATGCAAATTCTGAGGTGGATTGTGCCAGATTTTCGTCCAATAATGCTTGCAAATCTGCATTTTCAAGCTTTTTTGAGTGTCCCGAGTGATCTTTGTCGTTAATATTGAAATCATCAATTTTGAACTGTCTAACCGAATATTCATGTATCTTAATTGACGGAGCAACATCATCGTAAGTTTCTATCAGAATTCTCTGACCTTCAGCCGCCGTTTTCTTTTTTTCTGATTAAAAACGAAAACAACGCATATCGAAAATATTCTTTAGGAAGCTCCATTTTTGAGATGATATTAACACGATTTTTACCGCGTCTATTGTTAGTAAATGACTAAATATCATGGAATAATATTAAAGCATTAAGAAACAATAGATGTGATTGGAACGTCTTCGACGCGACTGACATTAATGTCGTCTCTTGCAAAACGCTCGAAACTAAATCACACTCTTAATAAATATATGCAAACGAATGTACATATGTATAAATTCGTGTTGTAGGAATAAACGAATTTTTTAATAACGACGTAAAACCTGCGCTCGGAAGGTGCGGAATAGGAAGCTTTCACGAACTGCGGAGTTCGCCGAGTTCATTATTTCTTTCCCCTTTTTTTTTCAATTGCGATTCTAATTTTACATTGACAGTGTCAGTTTAACCCGCAACTCAAACTGTCGCTTTAATATCGGACGCACGGTGGACACGTTTGCGAGGTAAAAATAGCCACTTGCGTGCGGTGAGCGTGAAGCGAGCGATAAAAAAGCTCCCACTACGTTCTACGTATTAATAGGCCACCGATAAGCAAGACCGCATCGGTGTGACAAAAACTTGTGCGTCCTATCGTTTTTATTAATACTTTTCAACGGTGAGGCAGTACAACAGCACATCCTTCCACCATTTCCCGCTGGGCCGTGTCTGTAAGATGCGATGCAACTTGATCGACGCTTGAGTCTAAGTAACGCCGACAAAGCTCGTCGGAGCAACGCGAGAAGATTACGAGATAAGATAAAAAACGCTTGATTCCTGTCGTCAATTGTCCGGGATCTCGCGGCTTGCGGCGAGGAAAAGGTGAGGAGGAAGCACGCGACGAGTGCGTACGCGTTAGCGTGTATATACCGTCTGCCACCGGCATCATAATTCTTATTTTTAACGAGCGACGCGTCAGTTTCATTTCATGCCGCATTACGTTTATACGTGCTGTACACTTTTCGTCGTGCATCGATAAATAGCTTCAGTCTGAATGATACTCCCGCGGAAGATATACACCCGAGACTTTGGCTACTCGCATCTCTCGCCGCGTCGCTAGATTAATCTGAAAAAATCCGCTCACAATTTTCATTACGCTCAGGGTGGCTTGATTTCTTTTTTCTTTTTTTTTTTTTCATCGGTGAGTGAACAGGAGACATCCCGCTTGAAAATGAGACGATCGGACGCGATCGGTCTGTTCGCGCTTTGCGTGCTCGTTCTGCTCGCCGGTGACAGCAGTGCGATATCTCATTTCCTGAGGAAATATCTACCGACTCTGTTGCGTAGCCCGTGGAAGGAACTGAGCACTCTTCGACACGGAATCGTCCCCGGTAATACACCGTTTCAGTTTTCGACAGTACATAATACAATATTTCCCCGGCGGCTAAATCGCTTTCTCTGCGATATTTAGGCACCCTTTGGTGTGGTCCTGGACACATCGCCAACAACTATTCCGAGTTGGGCAGCAACTGGCAGTTGGACGAATGCTGCAGAGCGCACGATTTCTGCACCGACTACATAAGACCTCAACAAAGTAAATACGGACTGTACAACAGCGCCAAATTGTGCAGAAGGTATTTGCGACGGCTCCCCGACGATCGCAAGTAGTGATGGGGCGTTATTTCGTTGCCTGTTACTGAATAACTGTCACTGAGTAATAATTTTAGTAACGGTTATCAAATCTTTAAAATAACGGTTAACGGACTAAACGGTTATTTTCATAAAATTATAATTTTACGAAAGCAATAATGTTTAAAGTACGAAATTACCGGTTAATTGATTAATGTCACGTTCCGGTGTCGCATCAGTACTGAAAATCTGTAGCATACGTGACTTAAACTGTAGATTTTCAATACCGGGGCCGGTATTCATGGTCGGATTTTACTTTTCTTAAACAGCAATATGAAATGGATGGCTGAATAAAATAAGAGAATGCATGTATATATTTATATGCACTACTATCGCTATCACTCTGCAGGCTATTAAGCAAAGCATTAATAACACTATTTTTTTATTTTTTGAGAAACAAAAATGAAATAGCCCGTGCTATTTTTGTACTTTTTAAAAATTCCCATTAGTCTCGTGTTTCTTTAACGTTTCAATTATAAAACTCAATTAAAAAAGACTATCTCCGGTAGCAAGATGACGTCTCAAGACGTTTTAATGATATTAGTAACATGTCATCTTGCTACTTCGGCATTATTATATTATCATTTTGTTTATAAATTTCTAACAGAGGAATATATATACAGGGTGTCTTAAAAATACCGGAACCCCCGGACAACTTTGCAGGATCAAGTTTTCATGAAAAACTTTAAACACAAAAGTTATCAGGGGGTTCCGGCATTTTTAAGACACCCTGTATACATAAATTATATAATATCGTTTGTTTATTTAGCTCAATATTATAGTTACTAGTTACTCAATATTAAAGTTACTAGTAACCGTATTTAACCAATGACTGGTTTATATAACCCGGTTATTTCAAAATAACAGTAACTGTTATAACTGTTTAGCAAAAATAACCGTCTAGCCCATCACTAATCGCAAGTCTGCAGCGTACTAACGCATTTTCCGTTTTCCTTCGTAGCTCGTTGTGCGACTGCGACCTGCAGTTTTATAACTGTGTAAAAAAAGCGCCTGGCTTCATCGCGTTCAGCGTCGGGAAGATATATTTCAAAAATTGCAAGTTTTGCTTCAGACGTTTCGACGACGCTGATACCTGCATGGAGAAGTAAGTGCTACTAAAGTCGTGAAGTCACGAAAAACTCGTGGCGAAAATAGAATTAGACACGTGAATGTAATTATTTCCTCGCCGGATATTATTAATTATAATTAACTCGACGTGCGACAGGAAGGTGCCGATCAGTCGACACGTTCGCTTAATTAAAACTCCGCTGACAAAACGTATTACACTCGCTTAATTGCCATCGATCAATTAGCGCGGAGGCGCGCGAAAAGTGAGCCGCACATCGTCGAAATTGCGCCTGTTACTTTGACATCGGTTGATCTCGCGTCAGTCATTAATTCATCATCTCGTTCATTAGGGGTCTCACAGTGAGCGAAGGAACGAGCCGTGATGGCCACCGCGCTTTTTGCGCGCAGTTTGATCGAAATCCAAAGTGGGGGCATCGGCGCCACCTCGAATCGTCGGAATCGATCCCCGCAGCCACGCTTCCAACCTGGATTGATAGCGAGCCCGTGCAAACTATCCCGGAGTCCTATCCTGTGGACGATAACCAGTCTGCCGAGGAGGATGAAGATGATGAGACTTCTCAAGACATTGACTTAAGCATGTTGAACGTATCTTAATGCCAAATATTTAACACCCTCGCGTTCCTCTCGGCGTGGTCGCAGGCGACGACAGAAACAAAATTTCCCACAAGAAGTTAACCGATTGTAAATCTAAAGTCAGATTTACAAATTTTAAACGGCAAATCCAATATAGGGCTGCCGCGCAAGAGTAAATCAATGTAAGTCTGAATAAATGTAAATCAGATGCACGATATAAATGTTTTTCAGATCGCTAATTATTACGATGAGATTTGTAAGATTTATTCAAAAAATCCAGCGTGCGAAAAAGTCTGGAAAAAAAAATATATATTCTATCCTGACTATGCGAAGACTATTCGGTAAAATGTTCAGCCTCTAATCCTAAATACTTCCCAAAAGATTGAATCTTTTTAATCGCTTTCTTCAACTTTATTTGTTTACAAATAATTAAAAATGAATGATCGAATATAAAAACGGAAAACATTAAATAAGCATTAATATATTAGAAAAATGTGAGGTCATACTGATTCTCATTAAATTCTCATTAAACGATACATCGCAGAAAAGGAAGAAAAAGGTGATAAGTGTATTCACTATATCGACACACAGAGAGTTAAAGGAGGCTTTTATCTATGCAATAATTCGAGTGTCTCAATAAACGTTACCCTCAAATGTCGCTAGAATCAATTCTGCAAAGAGCAGCGTCCAAATGCTTGACCAATACTTGGCAAAAATCAAGGAAACCTCGCGTGTCAGAAAAACTCGCGTTCACGGGAGTTTCATTTGTGCAGTCCCATATGAGAAGACCAGACGCCAATTTGGAATCTTCTCGGGAGATTCTGGGTTCTCAGCGTCTTGGGCGTATATCGCGCGGAAGGAGTCTTCCACGCACTTTTTGCACCAATGTAGGCTTTTACGGCGAGTGTTCGCTCGCTGTCTCAATTTAATGCAGAGTTACGTCGGAAAAAACTGGGAGCCGCCGCCGGTGCAATCGTGCCCCTCGAGTACGATTTCGAAGTTCGCCCCGAAATTGTCTCGTCCTCGATACGGCTGCCGCGTCCGCGGAGGACGGAGGAGGTTACTTGAAAATCCGCCGAGAATTTTATCGTGAGGCCATAGACACGCGAGTGAACAAGCGAGAGTCTATCTCCATTCAGCGCTCTTCGCCTCTCTCTCTCTCTCTCTCTCTCTCTCTCTCTCTCTGTCGTCAGCGACGGAGAAAGGAAGACCATATCACCCTTTGCTATCCACCTCCTCCCAACTCGCCTCCCCTTTCTCACTCTCCTTCTCTCGCGCGGAAAGAATGTTCAATTATGCAAAAGTGCGCGCCGAAGTTTCGCTACAGGCGCCTCGTTGCCGTCTATAGGTCCTGGATTAATATTGGCCGCTGGATAGTGCGAACCAAGTGCAATCAGTGCGTTATTGCGAATTATCTCTGGCAGTTGATCTCGTGCGATTCGCTGTCCAGCGCGAAGCGCGCGAGACATTCATTTCCGCGCGCTTCCGGCTGGATATCGTTATCAGTGGGAAAAAGTCCGCGGAAACGAAACCAAGGCCAAGCAAGGCCAAGCGAAGATAAAATCATCCGGAAGTCCGCGGTATCGCAAACAAAGTGAGATATGCAGCTCAGCCCGCATCCGGAAACAGCGAACCACCGAGTGTATTTGCGTTAATTTTACATCTATTTTTTACGTTGATATCACTTGCAGATGCAAAGTATCGGGAGAGTGGATTTAATCGTACGCGCGATCGGAAGTACAACGATAAGATCAGACATAAAGAGACCCGTCTGTCTCCCACCGTGTCAACGGTGGGAAAACTAAGTTTTCTTCTTCTTCTTCTTTTTCGAAAATTCATTTCCACAATTTCGTTTGTGACAATTTTATTTACGGCGTTACTCGCGCAAGCGAGCTTCTTTCATTACAGGACGCGCTTTTTATCTTTCTCGGCGCTATTAAAAAGCCTTTAGAAATACCGCCGCGACTCGAAGCTCGCTCGTTTGAAACCTTCCTCAAGCACCTCGTATTATAAAATCCTCTTGAAGAAAATGGCGATTGCTAATAAAAAATGTACGAGGAACTCTCTCCGTTCCTTGCAAGCCGCGAGCGGGGCGGAAAACAGGGAAGCGCCTAATATTTCGTACGGCTTTCGCCGTAGTTTGCATGGGATTTTTAATTGGGGCTTCATTAGCTTGAATTAAAACGACAATGCCAGCAGAATTTTAATTGGAATCTTTTAAGGTCTCTCTCGGTCTTTTCCAAAAGAGTGCAGCCTTGATGTGAGAAAAAGCACGTTGTTTGTATACAAATATTTGTATATAAATACAATCTCTTTTTAATTCGGGTTCTCATCAATCTGTCAATCTTCTCAAAAAGAAAAGAAAAAAATACGCGAATTTATAAAGGAAATAAAATGTAAAATTAAGACACGAGAAAAAGAAATACCATATATTTCGATTGTATATAATTGGTAATTTATATTTGCATGTAAATATATTGTATACGCCAAGGATCTCATACATAATTAATAATACGCGGTATGTACCTCGCAAAATTGGAGTACAAGGAAATAACCATGAGAAAGACTTTTCCCGAGAAAGACTTTTCCCGCTCGGCAGTACCTGGCAGAGGGCGTCGTCCACATGACGCCGCTACTCCCTCATATATGCGGCGCTACCCTTCATCGACGTCGACGACAAAACCGTGGGTGGTTTTTATTAAAATGTTGAACCCACCTCCCCCACGCTGTCGCGACTGAAGAAATCAATTCGACTCCGCCGTGCGATATTACCGGCCTTTTCTCACTCCCGCTCGCTATCACCGCGCATCCCTCAGCCGAATTTCGATTTCGTTGAAATCACGCGCGCATATCGACTTACCTGTCGGATTATCCGTGAGAAAAAGGCAGGAAAGGCAGGAGAGGGACCCGAGGGAAGGGCTAAATATACGAGGGCTGAAAGGGTTGGAAATGGGAAAGCATCGCTGGGGTTCCTGGCGACGCGTTTAGGTCGCTGCGCGCACCGATTTTGCGGCGGTAATCCGCGGGATCCCGGCACTGCGAGAGGTGCATCGATCATTTTCACCCTCCTCGTCGCGGAGGCGAATCGAGTCTCGCCGGCAAAGTAGAAGCGACACTCGCCCGAGAAGACAGACTCAAAATGATAACAAAGAGGTTCATTATGCCTTTGTACACCGATGGGGCGCAACTGATGTTCCTTCGGGCTCTTGCAATTTCCTCCTTACAGGATTACTGCCTCTCCCGGTATTACCGCGCCTCCCCGGAGCGTGTGCTGGCGCGAAAAGCGAAAAGATCAAAGGTCAGGAGGACTAAAAGAATGCAGCCGAGAAAGAGTAGTTTTCCGCCGAGCAGGAAGAACGGACGGGCGCTGAGACAGAAGTGGTTCGTTCCCCGGTCACGTTAGGCTGGTTGACTCTCGCCAGTGTATCAAGTACACTTTCGCCAGCGAGAAGCCAACAATGCGATCCTCGATCTCCTCGACACGAATTGAGCGACTCGCGTGATTTAAACGGTACTCGCTCGCTCGCTCGCTCGCTCGCACGCCTGGTAGATCACGTGGGTTTTAACAATAGCGAGATCCACGTCGGCCGGACAATGGACACGAATCGAGAGTTCACTTTCTTGATCTTCGGCCGACCGTTTATACGACGCGATGGAGCGTGAAGAATGGTGGTACGTCGTACGGCGGAGCGAAGGAACCGCGAGATCGACGAGAAAGAGAAGCCTCGGGCTCCCTTGCACACTCCCGAGTTCTGTTCGACCGCTGCATTTAACGCACTGCCATCCCGCGTCAGAATTAAATTCCTCGTCGCTAATAGCCGGGCAATTGTCGTTCCTTCCGCATATCAATCAAATTCAGCGGCGCTTCGAAGTTAAATTTAATTAAAAGAGATTAACAGCCAAAAAAGAGCAACTTCACCACAAGCGAAATCATCTAAATTTTAGAGGATTTTACTCTTATATATGGCCTCAAGAGGATTCCTCCTAAATTAAGAAGAAAATATTATAAACACATTGTTGTTCTTAAAGTTAGAGGAATTATGTGTGTAATACAAATCTCATTGACTTTTAATATAAATTTCTTCTTATACACAGATTATTTAACCTTTTGTTAAGAGGATTATTATTTATTCTTACTGTACTTCACTCTTATGGTACTGATTAATTTGAAAAAACTTATTATAATATATAGCAAAAAGTAATATATGTGCACTTCTGGCTCCAGTTCTATAATAAGTAGGCACGAATGAAATAAGATCATCGTAACAAATAAATTTCCAATCAGTTATGGATTTCGTTGTGGATTTTATAGCTACAAAGACGTTCATTATAACCAATTGTGTGAAATTGTATGAAAAAGTTAAAAGAAAGAATATATCATTCAACTTCTTGCAATAGATTATAAACTGTATTTGACCAATTTTGGTATAAATTATCTTCGTTATATGTTACAGCAACACACATACCCTTTTTAACAAGCGTTCCAAATATTCTGAGCCATGAGCATATGAGTCCATAAGGTTATCTTTTCGTTCATGTCTGAAGGTAAAACATGACTGAACAAAAGAAGCAGACATTCAAATTAATATATTCCTCCTCATATAAGAGGAAAATTAATTGAGATAAGAGGAAATCCTCTTGAAATAAGAGGAAAACAGTTAAAATAATATCTAGTAAATTTTAGATAAATGGTTCACTTTAATCGCTTCATCGAAAGAGGAATCCCCTTCCTAAAAGGCTTCGCTTAGAATATAAGATTATGAGAAAAACTCACTTTATAAATAGAATACTCGTTTTTAGGTGAATTATTACGAGTGATGAGCTAAACGGTTATTTTTATAACAGTTACTGTTATTTTAAAATAACCGGTTATTTGAACCAATTATTTGGTTAAACGATTACTAGTAACTTACTATTAGGTGTGTGAATTAATTTAGTCCCTTTTTTTCTTCCAAAAAAAGACTTTAGTATGAAAAAAACATGAAAAGTACACTAATCAAAGTATTTGCCATCGCTTGCTATTATTTTTCCCATCTGTCTGGCGGTTGTTGCATTCCGTGACGGAAAAACAACTCGTCCTTCGAAGCGATCCATTCATCGAGCCATTTCTCTATTTCTTCATAATTGTTGAAGTGCTGGTTCGAAAGCCCATCGATCGAACAAGTGATAATCGGATGGAGCAATGTCCGGTGAATACGGTGGGTGAGGTAAAACGTCCCAGCCAAGTGCTTCCAAGGTGGCCTTCACAATCTTTCCAACATGTGGCCGAGCGTGTATCGTGCTGAAAGATCACTTTGTCGTATCTCTTTGCATATTCCGGCCGCTTATTCTTCAATGCGTTGTTTAAACGGATCAATTGTTGTTGGTAAAGTTCAGCAGTGATGGTTTGACTCTGTTTTAATACTTCATGATACATTACACTCTTCTGGTCCCATCATATACAAAGCATTACTTTTTTGCCGTGATTATTCCGCTTTGGTATCGATGTGGATGGTTTCCCTGGGTCGCTAATGGATTTCCTTCGTTTGGGATTATCGAAATATATCCACTTTTCGTCTGCAGTCACGATACGATGCAAGAAACCTTTTCTTTTTTGCCTGGCAAGCAAGATGTCAGACATGGCTTTTCGCCTCTCGATGTCTCTTTCTTTCAGTTCGTATGGCACCCATCTTCCTTCTTTTTAAATCTTTCCCATGGCTGCCAAACGCACAGAAGTTGTTGATCGATCAACATTCAACAATTGCGCGAACTCCTGTTGCGATTGACACGGATCTTCATTGATTAGCGCCTGCAATTCCTCGTCCTCGAACTTCTTCGGCTAACCTGGACGAGGTTTGTCATCGACACTGAAATCATCACTTTTGAAACGTCGAAACCATTCTCTGCATGATTTATCGGTGGGAGCACTTTTACTATAAGCTTCTGCGAGCATTCGATGAGCTTCAGCGGCTGTTTTCTTCAAATGAAAACAGAAAATGAGAACTTCCCGAAAATGATGCTTTTTTGGCTCGAATTTCGACATTTTCGATTCAGATAAAAACGATGTTATTGTTACAAACCCAAACGTTTATCAACTGAATATTATTGCCAGATATCAAAACTAAAAAATAAAACCTTTTGCAGACATTAAAAGTTAGAAAATTACATAGTACAGCAATTGGCCGCCAGATGGACCGAATTAATTCACACACCTAATATAATATTGAGTTCAATAAACATAAACGATATTATGTAATTTATATATATATATATATATATATAAATATATTTATATATATATTTATATATTTCTCTGTTAGAAATTTATGAACAAAATAATAATAATATAATAATGCCAAAGTAGCAAGATGACGTTATTAATATCATTAAAACGTCATCCCGCTACTTTAGGAGATAATCTTTTTTAATTGATTTTTATAATTGAAACGTTAGAGAAAAACGAGACTAATAGAAATTTTTAAAAAGTACCAAAATAATACGGGCTATTTCATTTTTATTTCTCAAAAAATAAAAAAATAGTATTATTAATGCTTTATTTAATGGCCTGCAGAATAATAGTAGCAGTAGTGCATTTAAATATATATAAATTTTCTTATTTTATTCAGCTATCCATTTCATATTGCTGTTTAAGAAAAGTAAAATCCGACCATAAATATTGGCCTTAGCATTGAAAATCTACAGTTTAAGTCACGTATAGATTTATTTAAGTCACCTATAGATTTTCAGTATTGATGCTTGTATCGGAACGTGACATTAATCAGCAAGCAGTAATTTCGTACTTTAAACATTACTGCTCTTGTAAAATTATGATTTTATGAAAATAACCGTTTAGTCCGTTAACTGTTATTTTAAAAATTTGATAACTATTATTAAAATTATTGCTTAATAACAGTTCAATAACAGTTCAATAACAGATAATGAAATAACATCCCATCACTGATTATTACTATCACTAGAGGTTATTAGAAGTGTTTTATAATTAAGCGCGTACGCATCGATCGAATTAAGCGCGAACTGTTCGCCGTGTTCAATCGAGATAGCAGTCGTGAAAAAAGCGCTAGGGTCTGGACCGTTCGACATCGCACGAGAGAAAAGGCCGTAAATAAAGTTCAGAGCAAATGATTAAAGAAGTTGGAAAAGAGTTATTTACCGCTCAAGAGGAAGAGTCCGCAGGCCACGAGAGTCCTGTGATCAGAATTACAGTGGCCGATCAAAGCTGACACTGTCGCGGCGAGGATCAGGATCACGGCCGCCACTTGGAACGGTGCGGAGATGCTGAAACAACAAGGACACGCTTCATATAGTCCGTTAAGGATGAAGAAGCAGACGACGCTTCGCTTGTCGTCCGCAACCTCGACGCCGACGGTCGCGCGTTTCAAGCGCATTATTTTTAAACATTCTCTCATCGCGCGGCTTTTCCGGAGGGAAAAAGAGAGGAGAAAAAAGCGATACTCGGTACATCCCAAGCAGCCCGTCGCCGCGACGCCAGCCTTCAAATCGATAGCAATTTATAGCAGCCTTATTAGGGTGGTGAAGTGCGACTTTATGTCTTACTATTCTCGCGAGCGCGTCGAACGACGAATAAAAATCGCGGGTCGATCGCGGAAACGACGAGGAAATGGCGATGTCTAAAAGTATCTCGCGGACGTCGCGAAGACGGCGCGATCTAAACATCACGATCGACTTGCTTCATTTAACTCCCGTTTCCCCGATGTTGTGCGCGCACAACAGAGTCAACTTCAACCGCACGTCGAGATGGTTTCCCGATTTATTAAAAACTAGCCGCTCTCTCACAATTCGATCGATATGCGCGCGTCTCGTTGTTACGGACAAATTCTCCTCTTTACTCCGAGAAAAGAGAGCGAATTCTTGAATTCGTCTCCGGCTCGAGAAAATGCATGTCCAACTGGAACTTCTTCCGTGCGAAATGATGCAAGCGCGTTGACGAATATCGAGCACGTTTTACACCTGGAAACTCGCTGATAGACAGCGTTTACATCACCCTCCCGCCGCGCCGCCCCGCGAGCCATGAAACGTTTCATGAAATTCCTGCCGCGCCGCACCCTCTCCGCGCCACCCCCAACCCCCGGCGCAGTCATAAGCTCGCCTGTATCGTTGGAGGAACGCGAGTCGCTACGTTGGGAAGGATTGTCGTTTGCAGGTGGAGGGCGGCCGCCACCGCCGCCGCCGCCGCCGCCCGCGATGTGGCGGGGTGAGTTTCGAAGCCGCAGTGTAATACACGTATTCGTAGCTATCGGGGTAAATGGGCCATGCCGGGTAACGGCGCGCACCGGCCCACCTATCGACCTGCTCCGACGTTTAAGTCTTGATCTCGCGCGGCAATTTCATGGCGCGGCTCATCGCTCGTAGCCGCTCGCTTAAGGAGCTGTATATCGACGATCGGGACACTCACGCTCGATTAGAACGCGATTTGGGGAGCGTCTGACGTCTCGGCCGAGTTGCTTTTCGCAGATTCGACGCGGCCGCTCGCGGAAGTCCGGAATCCGAGATATCGGGTCCGTTTTCAGAAGCCGCGCCGCCGCACCGGTGCGCTGGAGGTTCCGGTCGGGAAATCTGCTGGAGCTGGAAACTTTCGCTCGCCGCATGCAACGCGGAGCAACTGCGCGGCATCTCACGCTCCCGTCCCGTCCCGTCCCGCGCGGTAATTCCGCAGAATCGAATTATACGGCGGCGGCCGTCGCGGGAGATGGAAATTAATAGTTTCGACCGGCGGCGAGGAAAAGCTACACGTCGACGCGGCCAGGCTGAAGGGAAGGAGAGACGCTCTCGGGCGTTGCTCGCCGATGGGGCCGGGTATGGATATTGGGCAGAGGGTTGGCAGGCTCGCCTAGCGATAAATCAGAGCCGTCCTGCGGTAATATACTGCTCGGTCAGCCTGTTTAGCCGTAATAAAGCGCATTGCTCGAGCGGGACGAGCGAAATCGAGAAGTCGCCTCGCGCAAGACGCGCGCGCGCGCGTGGCCTCACCTCTTTTTTCGCGGGCCTCTTCCTCACGTGTTTCGCCCTCCCCTCCCCCCCCCCGGCTCACCCCGGCGAGATCGATAACGACATCGGTGGGCCTCTGTACGCTTGAATCCGAATTCTCGGGAAGAATATTACGCGGAAGAGTCCGTGGAAATCCGCGGAATATACGCAAATATATCGCTGGCTGGATCTTTGAAGCGTTAACCTCCCGCGCGCTGGGAAAAATATGCTGGAAGTACTTCAATAACGGTTTTATCGAATTTGTCGGAGAGAACTCGGGAGAACTTGGGAGCGGATCGCTCGGTCGAGATCTGAGATTAAAATTCGGAGATTGGAAATTGCGAAACTGCAGGCTGGCGCGACCTCGAGTTTGGATTCGAATAATTTCCCCGAGCGTTTTTGAGAAATATCGCTCTTGGCTCGACTTGCCGTTCGATTCAATTAATTTCGGCGCTGAAATGATCTCAAAATAACCTTTGCAGAAGCGCGTCCGAGCATTACGCGAGCGCCGATGATTTGTTTTTCGCTCGTGTATGCATTAACGACAGCGGCCGAGGGATTATCGGGCTCCGGGAGGTGTTTGAACTCTTGAACTGCGAATCCTGTCGCGTCGATATGGCGGTTTTGTACTCGCGGTGGTCGCCGGGATTCGCCGAACGCGGTTAAGACGCGATTAAGTTTGTCGCGAGATACGCGAGAAGAAATCACCGAGGCTTCCCAGGATCAGAACATCGTCAGGCTGCTTCGGAGACGGAATAGAGGAAAGTTTCTTTTCGAGTAGGCCGCCCTGGCGACAAATATCGTTTCCACCTCGATTCGATAGCAATCGAGAGAAAACAAACGCTCGCTCGAGGGGCCGAGGATGGATTATCCAGCCGATGACCCAGCGATCCTTTTTCTGTCCCTCTCCGTCCCTCTCCCGCCCATCGCGCCTTAAATCAACTTTTTCAGACGGATTCATTCTCTCCCTCCTTCTCCCTCTCTCCCCTTCTCTTCGATAAATTGTTGAAATATTTTTAATATTTAAGCAGCCACATACACACTCCCGAAATCCTATTGAAATGTAAATTTCTGGCGCCCAATCGTTTCTATCGAAATATTACAACCTCCCAGCGTTGTAAAGGATATTTTATTTTCACTGCTAGGATACGCGCCCGCAGATTACGCGGAAAATGTGCTTCGATATTACGAATGTACTTGTTACACGGCCAGTATTAAGGTACAGCTTACATATTTCGTGAATGTCACAAACGTCATCTCGCTACTAACTTTCCGTTGGTCGCAATATTTACATCCAATAGATACACGTTTAGATACTACAACGTATCGTCGTTGCTATACGGATTCTCGAGATTTTTCATCCATCCTAATATTTGTCAATGTGTTCTTCACTGTTTTTTCTTAACCTGGTCTGCCAGCCAAGTACTAATGAAAGAAAAATCGTTTCAAGGAGCGGAGGAAAATAACGGGGAAATTAGTGCACCTGTGAGACATACTGAGGCTACTCACGAGTAAAAAATAATGCAATTATTGCAAAAATATTGCGAAATAGTGCAAGGACGCGTATATCGCGTACTGCAAAAAAGATTTCTGTTGTCATGCCAACTCAACGTTTGCTGTTCGTAGAGATGCGCGACCTATTCGAATTCGAATCGAATCTAATCTAATCAAATCTAATGTAATTCGACTCGATTCGAATCCCCATGATTCGAATCCGAATAATTTAAAAATTTCGAATCGCGAAGATTCGAATACGAGTCAAATACATTAGCGTTTGCGCGCATCAGCTACAAAACGGGCCATCTAGGCATGTTTGAACCCTTAACTTATAATTAACTTCACTTGTAATTAATAACTTGATTATAAATTACTTTAAATATTTAAATATATGTTTTTTAACTTTAACATAATATTGCGATATCAATATTCCCTTTCATATTAAAATCTTCCACCATTATTTACATGTTTAATAGTTATGTTAAATTTTTTAATGATTCGATTCGAATTCGAATTTAAAAAATGAGATTCGATTCGATTTGATTCGACGTAAAAATTCTTGATTCGCACGTCTCTAGCTGTTTGACAATTGTACGGAGAACAGATTAAACAATTAGCGCAACAGATCATTTTTGGTTATTTGTAATTTTAACAAGTATAGATTGCTGAGGATGCAAATCATATATGTTTGTTGGCTGTGCAACTTCCAGCAAAAAGAATAGCAGCAAAACTTCGTAATAACGTAATACGTACATGTACGTGACCTTTTCGTGATCTACATATTCTGAATTCTCATATATAGATAAAAGCATCTCTGAAAGAGAGATTTATAAGCTTTTTCAAGTAGCTACGAACCATTTTTACAGACTTTTTTATTGATAAAAGTACGTTTGCAGTATGAGCCTTTGTATGTACGTATCATATATCCCTCTTAACCTTATTTAATTTTATCTAATAGCTCGTTAATTTTACGTCATGTGTCGTGCTAAAAATAAAAAGTAACGTAATAATGTATTGCTTTATTTCCTTTTCCGAATTTCTGTAAAACACACACACAGAATTATTATTTTGTGAAGCCTTCTCTACCAATGTTCGATTAGATGCAATGGAGCTACATTTGAATTATCTTATGGTGATTATGATACGCGCTAGTGCAGCACTGCATATGTGCTTTCATCAAGTATTTTACGTATTTTGCTGTATATTATGCGTTGGTAAGAAAGAGTTAACACAACTGATTTGCTTATGCATAATTTCTAACCTTTGCTCATATTCCGTATTGCCAATAAATAAAAAAAATTGGTGATTTGCCGGACTAACACAACAATACCATTTGTTCCCGTTGTAAAATCGTTGGTTAAAGCGACAAATCATTTGTTACCACAACGAAGTTATTTGTTGTCCCGCATTAACAAACTATTCGTTGCGGTTACCGTTGCTTTGTCAACCCAACCAAACCTTTTTTCTCAGAGCGCGCGCTAGCGACTCGCAAAGCAAGACTCTCGCAAATAATCTGAGACCACGAGCGAAAAATACGTCATCACTCGGATCACTCGTCCATTCGACACGGACGATGATCTCGATCCGTAAGTTCCCATTTACGGTGCGACCTGTTAAACGTTAATTGCGGGTTCCCGTCCGACGCCGGCCCTTTATCGAGCCGGCAGAGGCACTTTTGATTCACGGATAATGCCCGGCCGACGGCGCGACGTCGGTGCGTTCTGTCAGAAAAATGCGCGTCCGATAGCGGCCGGGCATTTATGACAGTTAATGCGCTTTACATCGTCGGCCGC